AGAACGCGGCATATATCCATGGAGCAAGGTCTGACTATCCTGTTGGGCAAGCCTGGACCGAGACGCTTATACATCCATACATACATACATACATACATATACACCGAGTCGTACAGCCACCCTAAATTCAAACACTCTTCACTCAATCTACACAGGTGTCCTTCATCCCCGAAACCGTCAACCTCAAACCCTGAAACCTAAATGTGATTGAAGGTTGGGAGCTTCGTTAAGGCTCGATAGCTTGTCCTTGTGGGCAGTGCTGCGTCTGGCCAGGCAGTAAGGTGACTTTTGTTGAGGCCTGCAGGAGCATGGAATGTATGTTGGGATTTCGGTTTAGGATTTTGAGTTCCAAGTTTAGGGGCCAGGGCCTTGAGTTCAGGATTTAGGGTTTTGGGCTTACTCTCCCTTTGCGGAAAAGCCCAGAGATCAAGCAGAGGAGGCACCACATCACCCTCGCCCTGCTCAGCGGCTTTCATGAGCGCGGTCCTTGGGCAATTAAGGCGGAGGCTGGGGGTACTATAGGGGCCTAAATAGTTACCAATACTATTTGGGGGGGGGATCCTTATTACGTTTATAGTATAATGGACCCCAAAACCCAACTCTAACAAAGAGGCCCCTATACTAGTAGGGGCTTTGCGGCTTAAGGTTGACGGGCTTAGGGGTTTGGGTTTAGGGCATAGGGCTTAGGGTTTGGGGGAGAGCTGAACGCCGAGCCTAGAAGCTAAGGCAGGTCGGATAGATGGCAGGGTTGAGAGATGCAGCAACTCAAGGTGTTGCTTTGAAGGCTTAGGGTTTTGGGGTTTTGGGGTTTAGGGTTTAGGGTTTAGGGTTTAGGGTTTAGGGTTTAGGGTATAGGGTTTAGGGTTTAGGGTTTGCGGGGGTAAGAAAAATCTCGACATCGTCGCAACACACAAAAGACAACACAAAGGCAGATGTCTGTGCTGCCCGTCCCCGACACCGAGATTACCCGTGAACCTTTCGGTATTTTCTAAGTCGAGGCGGACGTAGGGTTCGTGAGAAGGACACAAGATTTCGGAGTTCATACAATTACAAGGACCGTCATAACCTCCACAGGGTTCGGTGTGGAGGGCTTGGGTGGGTGTGGTATTGCCTTCCTAGTATACTGATATCGAATAAAGGAACCCACAGAATAATCTTGCTACGTATTCCAGCTTCCATGTTGGAGGGCGATGCCCTGGCGAACACGGACTGTTAAAGTGTCTAGGAAAGTCACTACTCGGTTTTTGGGGCTTGCATCTGTCGGCCCAAGCTTAGACGGCGGCGTGGGTCCACCCCCTAAAGCCTCAACCAAAAACCAAACAAGAAAACACCCTGCAAGTCCCAAGGCCATGCAAATCCTAAAACCCTACAGGGGAAGAGCTAAAGGTGTAGAGCGTAGGGTTTAGGGCTTAGGGCTTAGGGTGCTAAAACCCCTAAATCATGAGAACCCTATAAAAGCTGCAGTCTCAGCGGCACGCCCTCGTCGTCCTTCATGTCCAAGATCCGCTTTTTCTCGCGCCTGGCGACAGCGGCAAGGATGGGTGTGGAAAGGACTCCAGGCACACAGAATGTAAAGCCTACTTTAAAGGAAACTACAGGTGGAGAGTTTAGGGTATATTTCGAGCTTCTATAAGGCTTCCATAAGGTATATAGACCTTCTATAAGGCTCCTATCACGGTAACTGCACACCTCACAATGTCCTAGACTACTTAATGGGCGATTGGGAGAAAGAGTCGAGGGTTCACTGAAGTACGCTACAACTCACAGGCATCTACGAGCCTGTGCCAGGGAGATACTGTACTATATTGCTGCCGAGGCTGGGGTGATGGGGCCCAGGAATTATTAAAGAGTTCCTCGAAAGGATTCTTTGAGGGGTTCAGCAAAGGATCTACAAGTGTGTAGGGTTGCACGGACCATAGGACTCTGCAGACAGGGCTGAAAATTGAGGTCAGTAAATTCTTAGATACTTACAAACCCAATTCAGGTACCTATACTCTTACTTAGAAGGCACCCCTAAACCCTAAACCCTAAACCCCAACCTCCTAGACCCAAAGTCCCCCGATCCTCCGAGTGAAACTACCAGCAGACCCGGGAGACCTGAACCCCAAGCTGGGTCTCGGGCTGAGGGTTTAGGGTTCAGGGTTTCGGGTTTTAGACCCTAAACCCTAAACCCTAAACGTTAAACCTTGAACCCTAAACTACGAAACATAGGCTGCAAAGGCTCTTGAGTCTCTGTGAGCACGTGAAAAAGTCCGTAGAACATCCAGAAACTTCGGGTCCGAGACATGGACCCGGAAACATTAGTTCGTGAACTTCTGGGGTTTAGGGCTAGGTGTCTTGTACCTATCGTCTTAGTCCTACACCCTAAACTGGAGTGCAACTCTGAACAGTTGAAAACCGAAGCCCCCAAATCCGTACACCCTATACTTTAAGTTCTAATTCCCCTAAATCCTAAACCCTAAACCCCCAAATCTAAAACCCTAAACCCTAAACCCCTAAATCCTGAACCCTTGCGACCAAGGCGCATGAGAGATTGCTGCGCCTCGTCCTTGCCACCACTTAGGGAGGGCCTTGGCTCGGCGTATTCGGGGATTCAGGAAGGAGCTTGGTTCAGGGTTTACTGGTTTGTTTAGGGTTTCGGGTTTAGGGTTTAGGGTTTAGGGTTTAGGGGTTGGGGTTTAGTGGCTTAGGGTTTAGGGTTTCGGGGCTTCCTTTTCAGCGCCCTTAGAACCATAAGAGAAATAATCCTTCGAAGGAGTTTTCTTGTAACAACAATGCAAAGCAATTCCGAAGAGCCCGAAAGTCCTGCGGCTTTGCCGATTCTAGGGCTTGGGGTTGAAGGTGTAGGGTTCAGGAGACTTCAACGACAAGTATTCAACGAGATCTGTGTCCTGCTTGAAGGCTCATGCGCAGTCACCTAAACCCTAAACCCAGGGTCCTGAATGCAAAACACCGGGGCTGGAATAAACCCTATATGGGTAGTTTTCAAACCCTATATGGGTAGTTTTCTAAATTATGGTTTAGGGTAGGCACCTTTATAAAAAGGACCCTGAAAGGGACCTAATCTAGAGACCTGCCTTTATGCTTCAATCCCCAATTTTCCGAGCGTTCCAGCTCTGAGGATCAATCCACGCAAAGCTGTGGTTTAACAAAACAGAAACATGTAGAATTAGGATTGTTTTTAAGCGCTCCTTTTTCAGTCCGCCGAAGCATCCCAAAGAACCCCTAGAATTAGGATTTAGGTTTTAAGGTTTACGGAAGCAGCCCGCCAAAGGTTCGTCTTTTACAACTACGTCACTACGTGTATGTAGCCAGTAGCATTGAAGCTCACCACGTGTGAGCCCAGCAGTTCCGAAAACCCCGGTGCTGCGTGCAAGGTTTGGGGTTGGGGCTTACTTCAAGGATCATGAGACTTTGTAACTAACTAGGGAGGTAAACAAGCGACCTTCACCACACGTATGAATACATCTCATCCCACTTACGGTGCTAAATACAGTCCCCTGATGCTCCAAGTAAAGTTTAGTAATATGCAAATATTGGTGTCAACAATGTCTTCTTGGAGGTTTATTACACTAAAATAGTTTCAACAAACACACTTCCTACGAGCACCAAAGTAATTCCTACACCCTAAAAAGGAAATCCGATGCCCGTGCATGTGTGGGCTGCTTCTTGGCGCTGGTCGTCGGGCTTGCTTTTGTGGCGCTGGCACCAGGGTTTAGGGTTTAGGAGTTTGCAGCTTATATAGGCTCTAGCGTTTAGGGTTTCGGGTTTAGGGTTCAGCATGTATGGTTTAGGGTCGTGCTCATCCAGCAAATCCCCTGTGCAAGTGCACGAGTTGCGTCTCGCCTGCTTCGTCCAGTTCGCGACAACCTTCACCATCTGGGCCGCCCGCAAATGGGAGAAGTTATTGAAAAAGTTGCGGTGACTTCCTTGTCATCGATGCGTTATAAAGTCTTGAACCAGGTGCGGCCGAGTCATCCTTTGGATGGCAGCTTTCGAGCACCATCTGCGAACTTCGTGAGAGCACCACAGTCAGCTGGCTGGTGGCAGGACCACTGCACTGAGCACCTTCCCTGCACCAACCAAACCCTGTCCCTCGAACCCCAGTGCAGGCGGAACTAGACACCCTAAACCCTAAACACTAACCCCGACTTCGAGGTATTCTGCACGAGACTTAGATGAGGGATCCTCTGGAATAGTCTAGGTCCTAGTCTGAACATTCAACTTGAAGCCCGGAACCCTAAGACTAATATTGGTGCCTTTTTAAATTCTGAGGGTTTCTTATTACAAGAATACTATAAGGTACTATAGGGGCCTTAATAAATACCTATAATATTCTGGGGGGAGTCCGTAGTACAATACTAGTATAATGTACCCCCAAAACTCTATTCTTATAATCTTTCAGGCTTTAAGGCCCTATATTAGACTTCCTCGGCAAGGAGCCCCTTCTTGCGTTGGGCTGCTTGGGCCTGCGTGGCGAGCACCGGATTTAGGTGCTTGGGGGTCATGTTTGGGGGTTGCGGTCTTTGAATTTAGGGTTTAGGGTTTCGGGTTTAGGGTTTATGGTTTAGGGTCTGAGGTTCGAGGTTCGGGGTTTTGGGTCTAGGTCAGGTTTGCATGTTCTTTTGATACTTTGTCATGTGGAGAATGTGGTTTCCTGCACTTGAAAGAACTGATCTTTGCAATATCTGGAGAGCTGGTGGCATCCTGGCTTTGGACCTGCTGCCTGGTCTCAAAAAGTAGAAAAGGCTTTGGGGACATGGTAGTATCATTAGAGTAAGAACCCCTCTAGAATAATATTACTGATGATTCAGGCATCTCCGATACTAAGAGAGGAGTTGCAAGTTCTACTAGTTGTCACGACAGACACTCTCCTTATTCTTTCACCTCGGAGTCGGAGGCGTGGGTTGTCGTGCTACAACTGATGAAATAGATAGCGCGACCCCAAGTACAGTCCTTGCTAGCTATTATTATCGTCGCTAAAATAAGGAAATGAGGGCCTCAACTATTAGCAGAGGGCAGCACTCACGGGGACACTACTTCTAGATGCTAGGGCCTCGACACTATGGGTTATGATTGCTACGACTGTGGCTAACCCAAACCTAAACCCTCAATCCCAAGCCAAGGCCCTAAATCCTATGACCGTCACATGAAAAGGAACCGTTTGCCCGTAGACTTGGCCACAACGTCGAGCCTCCACCAAGAATTGGATGATGTCTGTATGCCCTTCTTTACCTTGGTTTGGGCTTAGGCACTTCTTCATCTGAGTAATATAGGAGCCTCAATAATTAGAATAGGGTTTTGGGGCCCATTATACTATAATTAGAATAAGGAACCCCCAAAATAGTATAAGTTATGATTTAAGCCCCTACAGTACATGAAGGTTTGAGGGTTCCGGCTGGTGAGGTTCATGGCTTAGACTGTCCTTTAAGTGCTTGGGCCGTCTTCACCCTAAACAGAACGTTATTTTGACCCTACACCCTAAGCTGCGGCACATGGAGAAAGAAGACACACGATCTTACCAGGGTTTTCGTGTGCCTCATCAACATGCCCTACCCCGAAGTTGTGAACCCTGCAACGACCCTGTTGTGCATACTGTTCAGAGATTTCGGGCGATGCTACGAGAGTTGTCTGTTGCTCGACATGATAGCCTGCTCAGTGAAACAAAACCATCACACGCGGCTCCATCCATAAAATAAGCCGCGCTGTCATTTGTTACTCACCATCATCGCGAGCTAGCATCGGAATAAGGTGGCTTTAGTCACCTCGAGTCAGTTCTGACTGCGATAAACATTGAAACCACGCATCGGGAATGTCCCGAGAAAATCAACAAGCACTCTGTCCCTGCAGAGGGCTCAAGGGGCAAGATTTTAGACTCCTCTGCCTTGTTGCTAAAGTTTTGGGGCCCGGCGAAGGTCGAGAGACATGTGAGACATTGGCAAGACCAACCCGTTCGCAATCTGCGGCTACGGATTAGGGCATGGGAAGAATTCTCGGAGGCTTGCGATTTGTGCGCCTTGGAAACTCTAGCTTTCAAGGCGTCGGGATTCGGGGCATGACACTTCAAGTTGCTGAGAAATCGTTCATGTAGGTTTTTGAAAAGCACTACCGGCAGTAGGGTGCTCCCACGGAGCATGCTTGAGCCGCGAGATCTCAAGCATCGGTTTGTGATTTTCGGGATTCTGGCTTCGGAACCCTAAACCCTAAACCCCAAACCCTAAACCCTAAACCCTAAACCCTAAACCCGAACCCTTGAACTTCCGCCACAAATTTGCTGCACAGGGGGCATGCTTTCATCAGCGCGGTTTCGCCCATATCATCTTTCGCTGAAATCCGCGCCCCTTTCTCTACGAGAAACCGCACGACCTGGACCGGGCAAAACTCGCGGCCTCGGGTTGGTTTTATGTAGGGGCCTTAATAATTCGAAAAAGGGTTTGGGGGTATAGTATACTACAATTGTAATAAGGAATCACCCAAAATTATTAAGGCCTCCAGATTAGGGTTTAGGGTATAGGGGCTGATGGTCAGATCTGTGCAGCGTTTGACAGCAGATCATTTAGGCTTCAGGGCTTTGGAATTCGGGTTTAGGTTTGAGGGTTTAGGGTTTAGGTTTGAGGGTTTAGGGTTTTATGGTTGAGGGCTTAGGTTTGAGGGTTTAGGGTTTGGAGCTGAGGGGCAATGACCAGTTCGAAGCTACGTTGTTTTCACCGCAATGCCTCATCTAGCCATGATTTGAGGGCTCATTGATACATTAACTTCCATGAGCCTGTCTCGGGAACACAGAACTCTGAGACATGTTCAACTCAAGCCCTAGTCTTTCTGAGTACCGAAGAAGCAACCCTTACGCCTGAGGCTGTGGGGAGGGTTGTTATATCAGCGCACAAGAACTATCAATCAGTTGTAGTCCCTATATCGTTTCTGCCTTAAAGTTTTGGAACATGACCGCCCTTCCGATGCCCTGTTCTATCTGGGGATTTGACAATTTGGGGCCTCAGGTGTAGTATAGGCACCTGAAAACTTGGGTTGGGGCTGTGGTGTGTATGGCGATATAGGTACATCAAACTCTGAGGAATAATGGTGGCACGTATTCAGCAAGCATAGTTGGGGAAGTCATCGAATGGCACCCCGGCGAAGCCGAGCAGCATCAATTCGGGTTGACAAAGGATTTTCAGGCCTGGGAATAAAAGACATGATTCCTTGAGTGAACGAGGTCATGAAAATCGGCCACAGACCTCATGCCGAGCTAGCGGCACTCGAGCCCGGTGTCTTGGGTCCATTGGTCTGAACCCCTCCACACAATAAGAAACGGCACAAAGCAGCTCTTCCCGATAATCAATACCAACTCCAAGCCCTAATTGAACCCCAGACTCTAAATCCTCAACAAAACTCCAACCCCTGAACCTCAAACCTCGAAACAATTCAGCCTGAACCTACACCCAAAATCCAGACCCCAGACGTGCCTGTATGTAGCCCCCCGAAGCCGCGTGCATGAGCGCATTCACCCCTTCTGGATCTTTTTGGTCGACTTTTACCTGCCGGATTAGAGCGTAGGGCTCACGGTAAGCGGTTT